TTCGACCATGGGTTTATAAGGGTCGAGTTCTAATTCTTTATGTTTGTAGTAACTGATAGGTGTTGATGCTTCTTTTCTCTCGAAGGCAATTAATAGCCAATTGTGATGATAGTCTAGATTGGCATGTGCTTTTCCAAGCCAATCGTTTCCTACTAATGCAAGGTATTGAGGGGCATCGATTACTAGAACTTTTATTGGAATTTCGATTCCTGCTATCATAAAAGGAAAATTATCGATTTTTCCAATGGGAGTAGTTTGCTCTCCATTAGCAGTGATGATATTGGTGTCAGATGGTCCATCGATCGATCTTTTTAATTTTTTTAGCAATCGGGTGGTGACAATACTTCCGGCTGATCCAGAGTCGATAATTAATTTGAACTCGACTCCATCTACTTCTGCGTCGGTAGTCATGGCCGTAATCTTCTTTTTGGATGATGTGGCTACTAAAGCCATAATAGAATCATTATCGGATTCTTCAGTTTCTGTTTCAGATTCTTCGTCAGATTTTTTAATAGTAGAATCATCCTCCGTCGGTCCTATGTTAAGATAAGTTCTTTGGATGGTACGTGGTGTTGCTGATCGATGATTATTATTATTATAGCTTTGTTGATTGGTTCGATTATAATTTCTTCCTGGAAATTGTTGTCCAAAGATTTGGTAGTTTTGGTTGTTTCAGAATGTTTGACTTCCTAGATTTTCTTATAAATCTTGCCTAATTGGCAATTGTTGATTTCAGTACGGTCTAAACTGTCATTGATCATATCGAGGCGTAGAATAAGTATTGAATGATCAGTTTTGATTGGTGGATAGTTCTTTCCTTTGATCAAATAGTCTTGTTCGACATTCTCGCATCAGATGTCCTTTCCTTCCACAATAATGGCATTTCTTTTCATCGTCTGTTGGTTTTTCGTTGCGTCAGTTTTCTCTTTGTTCGACTACCAGTGTTTGGATGGTTTTTTCCAATCGTTTTATCCGTTGACTGTCGGCACTTTCTGTTTCTCCATTCAGTACCGCATTGACGCTAGTGGTAAAGTCGTTGTAAGTGAGCATTGTTTCGGCTTCTTTTGCTTTTTTATATGCTTCATTGAGAGTGTTTATTCTTGTACTAAACACTTTTCTTTGTAATTTTTTATCTAACCCTCGTATAAACAGATCAGATTTTTGTTTAGTTGAGTAGTATTCATCATCCGGGTCAGCTCGTCGAAGTAACTTAGTAAATTTTCCGTAGTATTTGGTGATACTATCGTCGGGTTTCTTCCTCAGAGTTGCTATTCGAGCATGTAGTTTAGCAGTGGTTGCCTTGTCTGTGAATTGTTTAACGAAGGCGTCAGCAAATTGTTTCAAATCATTCGCTATCTTGTCTGGGAGTTCTTCATACCAACAAGCTGCAACACCTTTTAAGGCCAAGGGAACTTGTCGCATTATCGTGGTCTCATTCCAATTATTCGCCTTACATACTTTTATCAAGTCTTGTAATCATTCGGTTGGATCTTCTTCATCGTCATCTCCATAAAATAATGGAATTTTATGTTCCTTTAAGATATGAGTGGCATTGGTTGGTATATTCTGAGAAAATTCGGGAATACTAAATTTCCTTGGTTTGTCTGTGTCGGATGAATCTGATCCTGAGTCTGGTGATGAATTTTTTGAACTTTTACCGTGTTTCTTATTATTCTTTTTTGAACTTTCCTCTTGGTATTTTTGTTTTCCTTTATTCGATACCTGTTTGGAGGGTTTTTCTATCGATTCTAGATCTGGTTGTCGGCTTCCTTGATTTGCTTCCTTAGCGAAGCTTGATTACTGAAAACGTTGGTTGTTTTCTTCCTCTTCTGATCGGAATCCAATTTCTTCTCTTACAAAAGGATTTCCCCATTCGTCAGTTTGGTTAAAGGTAGTCATTGCTTTCAATTTGTTTATTTCGTTTTGTATTTTCACTGTTAATTCTGCACTTTTCTTTGCGAATTCGTCAAATTTAGACAGACTTTCAAGTGAATCGTTAGGTTGATCGGATATTTCCTGACTGATGATTGGTGTTGGAATTCTTTCTATAGTCAATTCGTAGTCGAATTGTTCTTCGTTGATATCCTTATTTGATCCTTCCGAGCTGGACGCAAATAAAGAACTTTCGTTTCTTTGTTGTTCTTCTATTTCAAATAATTCAGTCGCAGTGTTATCGTAGATGGGCTGAATATATTGCTCTCCGA